CTCAAAGTGCTTGCGCGCACTGATAACATTTCTGCTGGGAGTGCCAATTGGCAAAATAGCTGTGGACTGGGCATGTGCACAGACACAGGGAGCTGGGAAACAGAGTGGGCCAGAGTGAGGCACTTCGCCAACTGCCTCTCCCAAATAGCTAGCAGAGCCCCATTGAATTGGTTCATTAGGCTGAACATCATCTCCGAAATGTTGCATTGACAGCACAATTGCATACATGTTTCTTTGGTAGACTCGCTCCCAAGTGAATCCATAGGAGTGTGGTGTGGGGTTAAGCAGCAAACTGAACTCTGCTATTTTAGCATTGCTGTGCAGAGGTGAGCCAGATGCCCCAAGAATATCTTAAGTATCTACTTCTTGAAACATGATTGAACCAGTGTCCTTTGGCAGAGTTTCTAGTCAGTGTAAATTGGGCTTGCTCTGGAGGAGGGTGGCAATCAGCAGGGATTTTTAGGGTAGGGCACTGAAACACCCTAGCTCATATTGTGACTTCTGGGATACAGACATATCTATCCAATTTCAATCTAAGTTCAGATGCACACAGCCTTGTGTCAGATCACAACCTATATTTATATTTAAATATTAACTGTTCATTGCACTAGCAATGATCCTTGTGGAACAACATTAAACTGCCAAGCCCACCTCAAAAAGCAGCAGAAGGAGCAAGAGGGTTATAGAGGAAACCTCCTCATGGTCTGAAATTTTTCTGATAGAAACCTATTACTGTTTTCTCTTGGCACCTTAGCACCATTTATAGAGATTTCAAAATATATTGCTAATATTGCTTATGCAATAACCTGACACACTGAATAACCCATTTGCACACGCAGACCTAATTTCCTTTTCTCTTTTGAGTCAGAATTCAGGTTCATTGTTAGTTGCTCCGATTGTGAAAATCCTCTCTGTGTTGCGAGATACTTTTGACTTAAGATCTATCAAGGTAAATTATTAAAAAGAGCGAACCACCTTAGGCTACCGCGCTTTAGTTTTTAAACACTGCTTTGAGCTCAGTTAAGCCACCAACAAAAATGTGAACACATATATGAAAGCTGTTTCTATAACCTAAGTGTGGATTTTTATTTTTTTTTAATTTATAGAAGTGCTGCCTCTTTTGATATTTGTGCCTATGTAATTCCAAAAAGTCATTCCCCGCCCCACCTGATTGACTGCAGCTCCGGCTGACCCAGAGTTGGTGAACGTAGGTTAGGACATCGTCTGAGGGCCAGCATCAACTTTGGTCTGTTCTCCTTCTATTCTTCGCCATGACTTAAAGGCCAGTTTCAGAGAAATAAAGGTAGGAAATGTGATTTAGTTTAGGGCAGGATATTAGTAGTTCATATTAGGGCCATAATTTAGGAATCCCTTTCTCTGTGGGAAGGGCAAAGTGGGCTTAAGCTACTCTAAACACCAGAGAAAGCTTTTTAGTATGTTCTTATATTAACCAGACTGTTTGGCTCTAAAGGAAACATTGAATATATCCTGACACCAGGTTTTCTCCTGGTAACTCCATTAAATAGGCATTACGAGGCCAGGTGGCACAGGTTATTCCTCCATTGTGAGGTTTTATATCTTGCTATGGCAACTGGATATGAAACAACCGGAAGGTTTCGGTGTGCCATGAGTGAGCCTTTTATTTCATAATTTTGTGAGCAGAGGGTTTTCCTCTAATAGGAGAGCTCTGGTAAAACACACTCCCTTTAAGTTGGAGAGAGCTTCTTAGATATCTGGTTACTGCTCCATTAAATCATTCCTTTCATTCAGTTTGCAGGAGATGTATAGCTTTGTAGGACAAGTTTTGACATCTGCTTTTTAGCTGAGGCTGGGCTTTCTGAAGAAATGCATAATTTCACCATCTCCCTTTCTCCAGACAATAAATACACTAGCACTTTGGAATAGGTGTCCAATGATGTAAGGTGCCAATTTGTAGCTTATTTGGTGATTTAAAAGAAAACGGATCAGCTAATAGGAAAACATATTCAGGGTGAATTTTCCCCCTTGATCACAAAGAGAGGGACTCAGTGACATGCTTTCTAAAGAAAGGCAAACCAGTAAAGGTTTGGTTATGAAGATAAATAAAGGCATAGGAAAACGGTATCACCATTGGAATTGGTAAGCACACTTGCCATATTAACATTTTGGAAAAAAAAAGTTTTGGATACAGTTAATTGTTTAATTGTTGTTACTTCCACTAAATATGTGAATCTGCTGCTTCTGAGAGGCAATGTGAAAGAGGAAGTATTAATTTTTGTGTACAAAGTTATTTATTTATTAGACTAATGTGGTACAATGTTGTACATTGAGAATACATTGTAAAAATATTGGAAGTGTTTAACAAATGGCATTGAAGTGTCTTTAATAAAGGTTCATTTATAATACCAATTACTCTGCCTTGATTAATTGATCTCTGCATTTTTGAAGTTTCGTTTTGTTTTGAGAAGCAAAATGAAATTCTGCATTGCTACGCTTCCTGGATTTCGAAGACTTTTTTTTAAGGCTATGACTAATTCATAACCCACTAATAATGGGTTAGGGTGAACAGAGTGGAACTTGTGTTTGAATAATTACAATCATGGATGTGGTCATTCACTCCACTAGTTCAATGAAATATAGAAGTTATCTTTAATCAGTTTGGGGTGATTTAGTTGCCAGATCTTGCATCTGATTTTGGCCAATGTATTACTTTCCTGTCTCTAATTCTGGTATCTATTGGATCACCCAGCTTCTATTGGAAGGGTCAGATCTGGTTAGTCCTTGGTTGCAGGACCGTCTGGAAAATTCAGGACAGAACTTTTTTTTAAAGTATTATCTTGGAAGATAGCAATAGCTGCCCATTTCCATGTTTTTTAACAGAAAACTGCTTAGATATGCCCATGCGTGCCACCAGGAATTGAGCTCAACTTGAAGACTTTAGTTTTTAAATCTGAACGACAAGAAATTTACACCACATCGAGTAAACTGGGTGGTTTCCTTGAGCATACAGCAGTCTGTCTTAAATCTCTACCTTATGCTCCAGTTCTGCAACATCTGGCCTAGAAACAAGCTGCTGTGAGTTCAATAGTGCCTACCTTTGAGTAAAAAGCATAGGACTGTGTTTTCAGTCAATTAAATTTCATATCAGAAAGCTGCAACTCTCTTGAAAGGAAGGCACTCAAATTGTGCACGCAGATAGCATGAGGCAGCAGAGGACTTCTGCAACTGCTGGATTCTGGGTCAGTTTCAAGCAGCAGATACAAAAATTAACAATGTAATGAAAGCAAGCAAGAAAATGCCCACGGGCACTTTTCTTAGTTTATACCAAGCTCCCTGCCCCTCCAGTGTTATTTTTAGATTCTTTTAATTAAAAACAGATAAATGGAGCTGGCACGCTGCACAGCGAAAAACAGACAACAAACACTATTTTTGCTTTCAATGCCTACACAGGCAGGCTCTATATGTATTCTTAGAAAGTGCAAAATAGTGAATGGCAACCACCCAAGGCTTGATTTGGAAGGATACCCACCAGGCAAAATACAGGTGGACAAAAGTAATCGAGGGTGACTAGCTATTGTGGGATGAGCCATCTTCATCGTGGCAGTCAGGCTCATCCACTGGAGTTGGGATGAGGCTCAAAAAAGTCAAGATGGTGGCATGCGATCAAAACCTCACCCCCTTTTTACATGTGTGTGGAGCTTCAATTAGAGTCACAGCCACCATCATGACTTTGCCGCTCCCTGTTTCCAAGTGCCCTCAAAATTCCCAAAGTGTTCCTCAGCCCCAAAGCCACCTTACCCCTGTGCACTTTGTTCTCTTGCAACTCAACTTCTGTTGCAGCCCATCGCTGTCCCACTCGCTGCCTCTCAAGCAAGCCCACTCATTTTTGTGACCCTAACCTAGAGAAAAAGGAACTGAATGGCATGCAGGAGGTGGCATCTTCTTTCCCCTCCTTACCCACCATCAGTTCTTCCCCCTCCTCTCTGTACCACTGAATCTTCATCGTTTCACCTTCTACCAAACTGATTCTTTAGAGGCAAGGTTTGGGAAAGAAGAGAAAAACCCAGAGCTTGCTCTCATTTTCATAGGCAACGTTGTTAGACAGTAAAAGAATACAACATTGTACTTTTACTAAAGAAATCTGAGTCTAATTAAAAAAGGCAGTCTTGCTTATCCAAGCAAGAATGCTTGCTATGCACCTGTAGGTATGAACAGTGGTCTAAATTTTCCAAATGGGTTTCAAACAAGGAACAAATGGCTTTTTCCCTTCTATACATTTTAAAAGGAAAAAAAAGAAAGAAAAACTTGTTGCCTCTTCTGTTTGCCCTCCAGAGCATAGCAAGTCTTCAGTCATGTAAATGGTGCTGTTTTCTTCCATGTGGTGATTCTGATGCCACAATATAAAGAAGCACCTCTTTTGGGGGCTGCTATGCCATGGAGACCAAGTTGTCATTTGCACATCATGCTCTCTAAAGGGACGACTAATAATAATGCTTTTCTGGCCCTAGGCTGGAGCCCTTAAACAAGTTCTTTGCCCCCCAAAGTTGCCTTTCTTGGCACAAGCTTCTCCATGAGCTCACCACTAGAACAGGGCTCTCCATACATGGACATTTTTGTTAGGGAAATGGAATTACAGGGTTTCTTTTTCTTGTTTAACCAGGGAGCATGAAGTCCAGGCTGCTGAACAGCTGCCGAGCCACAGGAGGCAGGAATGGTGGGGAGAGGGGGAAGGGGGAAATGGGGGGGAGGGGGAGCAGAACCGTGTGGGAAGGCAAAAGAATAACTTTCATGAATGCATGTTTTCTCTTA